TCAGGTCTTATATTTAAAATCTTTAAACCATTTTGAGTTAATTTTTGTATAATGTTGTATAGGAATGGTCTAATCTCATTGTTTTTAATGTGGCTGTCTAGTTTTCCCAGCACCACCTGTTGAAGAGACTCTTTTCTCTGTTATATATTCTTGCTGACTTTCTCAGAGATTGACCATAGGTGTGTGGGATTATTTCCAGGCTCAGTATTCTGTTCCAGTGATCTATGTGTCTGTTTTTGTGCCAATACCACAGTTTTCATTACTGTAGCTTTGTCGTATATGTAGTCTGAAGTCTGGAAGAATTATACCTCCAGCTTTGTTCTTTATCCTCAGGACTGCTATGGCAATTCGGGGTCTTTTGGGGTTCCATATAAATTTTAGTATTATTTGTTCTAGTTCTGTGAAAAATGTCCTGGGTATTTTGATCAGGACTGCACTAAATCTGTAGATAGCTTTGGGTACTAAAGCAGTTTTAATAATACTAATTCTTCCAACCCAAGAGCACAGGATATCATTCCATTTCTTTGGATTATCTTCAATTTCTTTCATCAATGTTTTATAGTTTTCAGCCTGTAGGTCTTTCACCTCCTTGATTAAGTCTATTCCTAGGTATTTTATTATTTTTATGTGATTTTAAACAGGATTTTTATCTTACTTGCTTGTTCTGACATTTCATTATTAGTTTATAGAAATGCAACAGATTTCTTTGTATTGATCTTGTATCCTGCATCCTTGCTGAAATTATTTATTAGTTCTAATAGTTTTTGTGTGGAGACTTTAGTGTTCTCTATATAGGCTATCATGTCATCTGCAAATAGTGACAGTTTTACCTCTTCCCTTCCAATTTGGATACTTTTTATTTACTTTTTGTATCTGATTGCTGTGGTTAGGACTTCAAATACTGTGTTAAATAGAGGCAGTGAGAGTGACATCCTTGTCTTTTTCCTGAATTTAGAGATAAGGTTTTCAGCTTATCACTGTTGAGTAATATGTTTGTTGTGAGTTTGTCATAAATGGCCTTTATTATGTTGAAATATGTTCCCTCTATACCCACTTTGATGAAAGTTTTTATCATGAATGGATGATGAATTTTATCAGTTGCTTTTTGTGCATCTATTGAGATATTCATGTGATTTTTATCTTTCCTTTTGTTAATGTGGTATATCACATTGATTGATTTACATATGTTGAATCATCCTTGTGACCCTGGAATGAATCCAACTTGATCATGGTGTGTGATTCTTTTCATGTATTGTTGGATTCAGTTTGCTAATAGTTTTCGTTAGCTAATTTTTTTAAAGGATTTTTGCATCTATATTCATTAATGATATCCACCTATAATTTTCTTTTTTTTTGTCTTTGACTGGTTTTGGTATCAGGGTAATTGTGGTCTTGTAGAATGAATTTGGGAGTGTTCCCTTCTCTTCACTTTTTTGAAATAGTTTGAGAAGGATAGGTATAAATTCTTTTTTATATGTTTGGTAGAATTCCCCAGTGAAGCCATCTGGTCTTGGACTTTTGCTTCCTGGGAGTCTTTTTAAATTTCAAATTCAATTTCACTTCTAGTGATCAGTCTGTTCAAATTGTCTGTTTCTTTTTGACTCAGTCTTGGCAGGCTGTATGCTCCTAGAAACTTGTCCATTTCTTCTAGGTTGTCCAATTTGTTGGCATATAATTGTTCATAGTATTCTCATGATTTTTTGAATTTCTGTGGAATTGGTTGTTATTTCTCCTCTTTTATTTCTTCTTTTGTTTTTCGGGTCCTCTCTTTCTTCTTGGTGGGCTTGGCTAAAGATTAATCAATTTTGTTTATCTTTTCAAAAAACCAGGTCTTGGTTTGATTTTTCTGTTGTTTTTTGATGTCTATTTCATTTGTTTCCTCTCTGATCATTATTACTTCCTTCCTTCTGCCACCTTTCAGCTTTCTTTGTTCTTCTTCTAATTCCTTTAGTTGATAGATTAGGTTGTTTTGAGATTTTTCTTATTTCTTGAGGAAGGCCTGCATCACTGTGAACTTCCCTCTTAGAACTGCTTTTTGTTGCAATCCTTAGATTTTGGAAAGCTGTGTTTCCATTTGTATTTGTCTTGAGGTGTTTCCCTTTTTCCTCTTTGATTTCATTGTTGACCCACATTTTTGGTAGTAACATGTGGTTTAGTCTCCATATGTTTGTTCTTTTCCCAATTTTCTTTCTTTAGCTGATTTCTAGTTTCATGCTACTGTGGTCAGAAAAATGCTTGGTATAGTTTCTATCCTCATAAGTTTGTTGATGCTTGTTTTGTGACCTAGTATGTGATCTATATTGGAGAGCATTCCATGTGCACTGGAAAAGAATGTGTGTTTCTTATTTTTTTTGGAAGTAATGTCCTATAGATACCAAGTAAATTCGACTGGTCTATTGTGCCATTTAAGACCACTGTTGCTTTATTCATATTTGTCTGGATGATTGGCCCATTGATGTTAGAGGGGTTTTAAAGTCTCCTGCTATTATAGTACTATTGTCAAGTCCTCCCTTTGTGTCTGTTAGTATTTGCTATATATATTTAGGTGCTCCTGTATTGGGTGTATATATGTTAACAAGTGTAATATCCTCTTTTTGTTTTCCCTTTATTATTCTATAATGCCCTTCTTTGTCTTTCATTATGGCCTTTCAAAGTTTATTTTGTCTGATATGAGTATTGCTACCTCTGCTTTCTTGTTGTTTTCATTTACATGAAATATCTTTTCCTACCTTCTCACTTTCAGTCTGTATGTCTTTTGCCCTGAAGTGAGTGTCTTGTAAGGCACCATACTGAAGGCTCTTGTTCTTTTTTTTTTTTTTGGCAGTACACGGGCCTCTCACTGTTGTGGCCTCTTCTGTTGCAGAGCACAGGCTCCAGACGCACAGGCTCAGCGGCCATGGCTCATGGGCCCAGCCACTCTGCGGCATGTGGGATCTTCCCGGACCGGGGCATGAACCCATGTCCCCTGCATCAGCAGGCGGACTCTCAACCACTGCGCCACCAGGGAAGCCCTCTTGTTCTTTTTTATCCAGTCAGCTGCCCTATGTTTTTTGGTTGGAGCATTTAGTCCATTAACATGTAAAGGAATTTTTGATAGTTATTAATGACTTATTGCCATTCTAAAACTGTTTTCCAGTTGTTTTTGTAGTTTTTTTCTGTTCATTTCTTTTTGTTTTTCTGTTGTGGTTTGATGATTTTATTTCATAGTATGCTTGGGATCCATCTTTTTGATTTTTGTGTATCTGTTGTACATTTTTGATTTGTGGTTATTGAGGGGTTCATATATGTTAACCCATAATTATATCTACTTTCTTTAAACTAATAGTCATTTAAGTTTAAACACATTCTAAGAGATATTAATTTTTTATTCCTCTCCCTCATATTTTGTGTTTTTGATATTATATTTTACATCTTCATGCTTATCCCTTTACTGTTTATGGTAGTTATAGTTGCTTTTGCAATATTTTTTTTGTCTTTTAATCTATGTACTGGCTTATTTAAGTGCTCTTCAGGGAAAAAAGTGATCTTCAATCCTTACTTTATATTTGCTGTTTCTACTGTGATTATCCCTTTCCTATAGATTCTTACTTCTTTTTCATTTAGAGAAGACCCATCAACATTTCTTTTTGGGTAGGTTTATTATTGCCAAATTTTTTTGGTTATTGCTTGTCTGAAAAGTTCTTTATCTCTCCTATTTTAAATGACAGTCTTGCTGGGTAGAGTATCCTAGGTTGCAAATTTTTCCCTTTCAGGAATTTGAATAGATCATGCTGCCCCACTTCTGGCCTGAAAGTTTCTGCAGAGAAATCAGATAATAGCCTTATAGTGATCCTTTTGTATATGACTCTTTGTCTTTCTCTTGCTGCCTTTAGAATTCTCTCTTTATTTTTAACTCATGTCATTAATTATGATATGTCTTATTCTGGGTCTGTCTGAGTTCATGTTGTTTCAGATCCTCTGTGTTTACTATACCTGGATGTCTGTTTCCTTCTTTAGATTTGGGAATTTTTCAGCCATAATTTCTTCAAATACATCTCGATAACTTTTCTCTCTCTTTCATCTTCTGGAACCCCTAAAATGCAAATGTTGGCATGTTTTATGTTATCCCAAAGATCTCATATGTTACTTTATTTTTATTTATTTGTCTTTTGTTCTGACTGGGTGATTTTCATTCTATTTTCTAGATTACTTATGCATTCTTCTGTGTCATTTAGTATTCTATTCATTGCTTCTAGAGTGCTTTTTATCTCAGATATTGAATTATCTATTTTCGTTTGTGTCTTCTTTATATTTTCTAGTTCCCTGTTAAAATGATCTGTGCTTAGATGAATTCTCTTTCCTAATTCAGTTAGCATTTTTATTATCAACAGTTTGAATTCATTGTCTGGTAGACTGATTATCTCTGTTTCATTACTTTTTTCAGGGGTTTTGTCTTGCTCTTTCAGTTGAGAGTAGTTCTCTGCCTTTTCTTTTTACTTGCTCTGTCTCTGTGAATATAGGTGAAACAGTTACCTTTTGTGGTCCTTACGTGGTGTTCTTATGTGGAAGCATCCTTATGTAGATCTTGTGTGCCTTTGGTGGGAGAGCTGTGTTTGATGTGGATTCTAGTCACACATTTCCTTAGGGTGTGCTGGTAGCTATCACCTTGGTGTAGGGGTTGTGGCTGGTGATGGAGAAGCCTGAGCCTGTGCAGGGTGTGAGGTGGAACTTCCACTCTGCTCAGTGGCCATCTCTACCCTTTCACAGGTGGAGTCTGCTCCCAAGGTGCTGGAGCAGAAGGTTGAGAATCTGGCTCGAGCTGGTTGTGTGTTCCATTTAAGTGTGTGTTTTTCCTCCTCCCTGCACTGGGGTCTTTTCCCCAAAGCAGGGGAGTACTGAAGAAAGTGGGGCTCCTGTGCTTAGAATGGTCTGATGCACTGCTTGTGTAGGCATCTGTGGCTACCTCAGACACAGCTCACATTCACATCTCTTCCCCTGTTGTGGTCACTCCAGATCTAGTGCTAGGTTGTGGCATCAAGTGGGCAGGGCTGGAGCATTTGCTCATCTGGGATTGCGTACTTGTGGTCACAGGAGTTCAAGAGCTGTGCTGCCATCAGAAGTCTGGGCTGCTTATGGGGTGCTGTCTTAGTAAGCACCAACAATGGCCTCCACCATCCCACCTGCAAACACCCCAGGCCCCAGGCCACCTCTGCGTCCCAAGATTGAATCTTTTCACAGTTGGTGGGAAATCTCTCTAGATCCGGGGCCAAGCTGTGGTGTGGAGTGGGCGAGGTAGGAGTGTTTGCTTGGCTTGGACTGGGGAGCCCAGTGAGGCAGCAGCCACTAGGGCTGACCTCTCTCTGCCCTGTCTGTTGGCAAACCAGCACCCTTGCATTCCACACGAGTGGAGTCCAGGCTTCTCCAGACTTTCTATCTGTCCCAGCAGTTCTCCAAGCAGCCAGGGGAACTTGTCTCCTTCCTGTAGGACCCTAGAACTGGGATGCCCAGTCTGTGACTTGACCCACACACTTCCCAGGGTGAGTGTCCATCTGTGCAATCTCTCTTTTCCTCTTAGTACCCTCCCAGGGGTATTGGTCCCAGACTGGTGCTTTTCTTCTTGTCCTTCTCAATTATGTGTGTATTTTACTTACAGCCTTGGTTTGTAGGAGTTCTGCCACTTTCCAGTTAGTTTTCCATAATTGTTCCACCTGTAGATGTATTTTTGATGTGTTTGTGGGGGGAGGTGAGCTCCACATCATCTTGCTCCACCACCATTTGATCTTCCTCTGATCAGTGATCTTTGATGTTACTATTGCAAAAAGATTATGACTCACTGAAGGCTCAAGATGATTAGTATTTATTACCAATAAGATGTTTTTAAATTGAGATATGTACATTTTGAAGATGAAATATATTTGACATAAAACATTATGTAATTTAAGTTGAATAATGTATTGATTTGATACATTTATATTCAATATATTGTAATAGGATAGCCATTTTTCATGATAGTTCACACCTCTATCATGTCACATAATTATAATTTCTTTTTGTGGTTGGGATAATTAAGATGTAGTCTCTTAGCAAGTTTGATGATTATAATATAATATGGTTGTCCATATTCACTGTACTGTGCCTTAGATCTCTAGGACTTATTTTTCTATGAGATGCAGATCTGTACCCTTAAAAGACATCTCTCCTATTCTCCTACCCCTCAGCTCCTGGTAACCACCATATTACTCTCTGTTTTTACAAGTTTGACTTTTTTATATTCCACATAAAGTGGATATCATCTAGTATTTGTCTTTCTCTGTCTTTTAAAAAAATAAACAAAATGACAACCTTTAGCTAGATTAGCTAAGGAAGGAAGAAGACATAAATAAAATTAGAAATGAAAGTGGAGACATTATAACTGATGCTACAGAAATACATAGGCTCGTAAGAGACTACTAGGTAGAATTATATGCCAAAAAATTACATTACCAAGAAGAATGAATAAATTCCTAGAAACACGTAATCTATCAAGACTGAATCAGGAAGAATTAGAAAATCTGGACAGTCATAATAAGTAAAGGTATTGAATCAGTTTCAAAAACCTCTCAACAGAAAACCCCAGGACCAGATGGCTTCACTGACAAATTCTATGAAATATTTGAAGAATAATTAATGCCAGTTCTTCAAAAACTCTTCCAAAAAAATTAAAAAGGAGAGAGGGAACACTTCCAAAATTATTCTACAAGGCCAGTATTACCTTGAATATAAGCCATTATCCAGGATGAATATAGATGCAAAAATTCTCATCCAAATATCAGCAAGTCAAATTCAAGAACATATTAAAAGGATTATATAACATGACCAAATGGGATTTATCCCTGGGATGCAAGGATGGTTCAAAGTACCCAAATCAGTAAGTGTAATACATTGCATTAATAGAATGAAATTTAAAATAACTTGATCATCTCAATAAATGTAGAATAACATTTGGCAAGATACAACATCCTTTCCTGATAAAAACCCTCAACATATTGGGTGTAGAAGGAACATACTTCAACATAATAAAGATGTGATATATATAATACACACACACACATGCACACACACAGAACTGAATGTTATTCATCTATGAGAAAGAAGGACATCCTGCCATTTTTTGACAACATGGATGGACTGATGGCATTATGCTAAAATTCGTGCTTTCATTCTAATCTTATTTACTCCTCTATAACTAAATATACATTGTGACATATATTTTGAAAATTGTAATTCTAATTTATATTTTTTTATCCTACAAGAAAACTGTGATCTTATTATAGCTGTTATTTTCCAACTAAACCTCATACTATAGTTGATTTAGTGTAATAAAAAATTCTTTGAGAAAACGATTGTAATGGTGTGATGTGCACATGATAATTTATTTAATTATTGCTTAATTTTGAATATTTACATTACTTCCAGTGTTGGCTTTTATGAATTACTGCCCAAAATATTGTTTTTGCACATCTTGATTAATTTTCTCTGTATGGTTTCTTAGGAGTATACTATGAAGTCAAAGGCTATAGCATTTTTAAGATTCTTGAAGCATTTTGCCAAATGTCTTAATTCTTTAAAAATTACAGAAAATTTCTGAGAACCTAATAATGAATGGAAAAGTTAGTAGCTTGAAGGAATAGTTTCTTTATATAATGAAATCTTCACAATCATTGACGGATTTAAATCTTATTTTGCAATTTAATAGCAACAGCTACTATTACTAATTATTATCATTATCCTACTATTCATCTTTTCTTTGTCCTTATTCCTCTCCTCTTAACCTCCCTTCTTACTAACGCTATCACTTTCCTGCAATGAGAACGGGGAAATCTTTCAAAAACTAGGGTTAGATAGCATAGAACTTTCACTAATCTTATCTCAGCCTTTGTTGGTGCAAATGGCAAAATTTTGTTCTTTTTTATGGCTGAGTAATATTCCATTGTATATATGTACCACATATTTTATTTATTTTTGGCTGCATTGGTTCTTCCTTGCTGTGCATGGGCTTTCTCTAGTTGTGGTGAGTGGGGGCTACTCTTTGCAGTGTGCAGGCTTCTCATTGTGGTGGCTTCTCTTGTTGTGGAGCGTGGGCTCTGGGCATGTGGGCTTCAGTACTTGTGGCTCACAGGCTCTAGAGCACAGACTCAGTAGTTGTGGAACACGGGCTTAGCTGTTCCGTGGCATCTGGGATCTTCCCAGCCTAGGGCTTGAACCCATGTACCCTGCATTGGCAGGCAGATTCTTAACCACTGTGCCAATAGGGAAGCCCTTAAGTCAATTTAAAAGAGATCATATCAATTTAAAATAGATTAGATTCTTGCTTTCCTTCATAAGGAATAGCATCCTATAAACTGAAGAGAATTCTCTGTATTTTTAAACTACAGGAAGTTTTCAGATTCAAGTGGTACAAATTATTTGCTGTTTAGTGTATGTGCAGAGTTTATGGTTCTTATATATGCAGTGTATATTTTCCCTGTTCTCTTTCTGTTAGGCAGCTATGATGTTGAGATGTACATCCCTAAGGGAGCTTTACTGAGGTTTTCTATAGGGTTGGTATAGGCAGAAAACACCTATCCTAATAAACTAAGTTATCTCTTTTATTCTGCAAGTTGTAAAACCCTGGGATTTCAAATGAGGAATGGTTTAAATGCTGATGTGAAAGCTAGGAAATGCTGAATTTGGCTCCAAAAATTGTTAGGTCATACATTTATGTTGTTCAAGAATTGTGTTCTTTTGGCTAGTGCACCAGTGAAGAATCTCAATCCTTAGAAAAGAATTTTATCATTTTATCTTGCTGATCAGATAGCCAAACCTTAAAAAATTCTTAAAATTAAAACAACTTTAACTTAAATGTATTAAATTATATTTTATTTAACTTAAATTTTATTAAATGTATTAAAATTTTAATTCCCTTTATTTTTCATTTAAAAACTTAAAATTTACTTTTAAACAACTCCTTGGGATATCTACTCTTTAGGACTTTGCTAGATTATATAATCTTGATATATTGGAAAACCAGTTTCTAGTAATTTAGAAATTAGATCCAAGTGACTGGTACACATTGGGTTATTGACAGTATGGAATAGCAACAAAATAACAATAAAGACAATAGGTAATATTTTTTCTGGATCACTAAGTATGTTCCAGAGACATTTTGGGTGTTTCATACATACTAACAGATTTTTTCCCCACAACAATATGAGGTTTGTTCTATTATTATAAGAGTTAAGGCGGACATAACTCTGTGAACATTGTATTCTAGTTTTCCATCATTGTTGCCTGTATCTTGCAACAACCAGCTAAATGGTGTCCCTTTTCACTCTTGCCCCTTTACAATCCAATCCAGTGACTACATCCTGTGTGTGTGTTTTTTTTAATGTGAACATCTCTCTCCCTTTCTTTACCCTTTTAATTTTCTCCCTAATGCTCCTACTAGATGTTTCAAACTCCTTATAATTATCTGTCTCCAACTTACCTCTCCAGCATCATCTGCCTCTTTACTCAACCTCTTCCTTTTTAGGCTAAACTTAGACTTCTTGGAAACTGTCATTACTATTCTACCTGCTTTTCTTTTGTGCCTTCTCCTACCCCTGCCCTATCCTGAACATCTTTCAGATCTTGTCTTAATTATCAATGCCTCAGGGATAATATCTGTGATTACTGCTGGATGTTTCCTTAGTGTTGTGGTCTTTCCTTATTATAACAATTTCACACAGTTTTTACTACTTGCTGGTATTCTATCTTTCCAGGTAGAGTGTCAGACGGCAGAAACTGTGTCTACACCATTTCTCTGCATATTAGCACTTATTTCTGGAATATGCTAGTCATTTTATAATTATTCTTTTAATTTTTTATAATAATTCTATTAATGAAGTCTGATGCTTTATTATGTATTGAATAATGAAAGTAATTTTACTGACATATTCTCAAAGTCTTCCACTTTATTCTGTATTGATAATGAAATTCTGATACTTGCGTTGGTATAGAAATAAATATGAGTTTCTAATTGGCAAGTCACTTTATCTAGCATCCCACATCTCTCTCACTGTAATTAAACATTCTAAATAAAGAACACAGGATTATTCCTATTGAAAATGCAATGTAAACAAAATAAACAAAACAAAATAAATAGGAATAGGTAACCTTAGGCAGGGGTTTGGCTGGTTTGCAGTGGAGGCCTCCAACAAATTGAAAATTTGGTAGCAGTGGGAGAGGAAATTCAAAATCCCAGTATGTTTGAATGAGCCACATTTCAGCTTTCCCCATTGTCTTTAATAATGTAGTCGGTCTTCCTGGAAGGTTAAACTAAAACAACAAGAGTTAGATCAAATGAGAGTATTGCTATGTGAATATAGTAGGTAGTTTTTGGAAAGGAGCTTGGAATGATATAGCCAAAGATGTTTGAAAGTGTTCTCTAATAAAGCAAATATATATGTATGTGTATAGTGTACATCATATTGTATCATATTATATCATATCATATCATATAATACAGAAACCGAGCTATACAAGTAGAAACAATTCCTAAATGCTACCTAGATACTTGTGCTACAAATATGTGTGTAACTCTTCAATCTTCCTGTCTTCATTTATCAAGGCATTTTATGAGGTTTCTAGTGATTTTTTTAAGTTAAAAAAAGAAGTTTAGTAATATGGATATATAATTGCTTGGAGAAGTCCTAAGTGATTCAGTTTGTGTTTTATGACTTCCTGGAGGAGAATCTGTATGAGTAATGGGAAACAGGGTTATACCTTACCCTATAATTTAATATTTTGATAATATTTATGAAATCATTTTATATTTTCATTTCGTTGTTTCACTTATAAGAGACAAAATTCTGTTACTTTATACAAACTCACCTTCCAAGGCACTAGGAAAATTAGGACTTCATGCTGCCAACTAAAAATATGACTTACCTAGTACTTCGCTGTAAAACTGATTCCATTTCTTCTCATTAAATGTCTGGAACCAAAAGTCAAAATAAAGTGCATATATCATATTTTTGACCCTCTCCGTGAATGTCATGTGATCACTTAATTCTGAAAACGTAGCAGGTACATAGGATGGTGGGAATGGAAGTCTTCCACTATACTTTTCAGCTGAATAGCCAGGAGAGAAGTGGAGACTGTACACTAAAGTTACTTTAAGTACCTCAGCCAGCAGCTCACCACAGGATCCAACAGCATCTGCAAGAACAACATCAAAACTTGATTAATGTAGTTTTATCATCATCTTCTTTTTCGAAACAACATCTTTACAGATATTCATAAGCATATCAGAAAGTTCCCAAAATAAACTTCTCAATGATGAAAAATATGTCCACAATGAATTTTTTGCCAGATATGTCCATTTCTCTACCAAATGCTTGATGGCATGCTTCAAATTATCTTTAGTTAAAGACATAGGGAAAGTCTCAAACTTAATAGCAGATGGTTTGTTGGGATCAATAAGAATGGAAGCTGAAGTTGTCAGAAGAGTCACCTTATGACCCCTCATGACAAGTTCATCCAGGATTGTCTTCATATTCATCCAATGACTGTATTTCATTGGCCGTGCCAGCACCTTTCCACAACTTCCAGAGCTAAAGTAGCAAGTCAGCTGTAGTAGCAGCAGAAGTGAGAGCCATTTCACAGACATCTTGTTCATATGCAATACTTTTAAAAAGTTACATTATCCTTTTGCCATTGCTCACGCTTATATCCAAGGAGAAATCAATCAGGATGTTAAATTATAACTCCTGTGCCTCAAATAACTACATTATATGAATAGTCACAGCTGTGGAAATCAAGTGAAAGGGCAAAGCATAGAAAACTTCAAGTTTATACTGGTGTTTAATATTATTTCATCAGTGCTATCACCCATCTAAAAGCTGAGCTCAAACCTTGCACACGCAAATCAGTTATTATGTAAGAGAGAAAAATAGTGTAACAACAGTGGCAAGTGAGAGGCTCTTGTGCCTGCAGTCCCCTTGACACAGAATTAGAGATAATGTAACATCAACAGGATGGAGGGTTAGGAGGTCCCAACACTTGTATCCCCCACAAAAGCAACAAAAACAATAAATGAGCAACTACAAACCAATGTAAATTACTTTAGGAAAGCTCTGGACTACAATGAAGAAGCAGCAGAAACCCTGCAGATTGCAAAAACTGAGGATGGCCCTGTAAAAAAGCTTGGGAAAGATTTTACCTCCATCACCTCATCCTCCAGTTCAGAGCAGCTTGGCACCCACAGAAATTCCTTCAAATGGATTTCACCCCATGGGGAGAAGAAGAGCAGGAGAATCCCAGAGAGCTTCACCATCATAGAGGTTTGCAGTATTTGCTACTGAGGACTTCCACAGTCTTCACCAAACACTGATTACAGCAGACACAGAGCTGTCCAGAGTCCCTGCTTCTGTGTCTTTCCTGAGGCTGGAAATGTTGCTGTGGTGAGATCTGACACTTGGAGCCCCATCACTCCGGTACCTTGCTTTCCCTTGTTGAGTTGCCACAATGCCTGACTATCTATGAGACTGGAGCTCTTGCTCTATGCCCTGCCCACAGGTATTAAGTCAGTACTTTGTCTTGCCATAACTGGGGCAATGCTGCTATTGCTTGGACTTTACTGTGTATTCCTAGTTGGGGCTTTGACTGGTCATTACCTAGGCTGAGCTGCTGAGATACCCACCATTCCTAGAGCCTAAGTCACAGCTTTAACCTATCATTGCTGGGGCTAAAATGCTGCTATTTTGTACCTCACCCTGGGTCAGGGTTCTGATACACAATTACCACGGCCACACTGCTGGGGCTCTGCACCACAACCCATGGGTCCTAACTTGCAACTTTAACAGGCCATTGCTGAGCACACGCTGCTGCTGCTCTGTGACTTCCACTAGGGCCAGAATTGGAATCTTGGCCCACCATTTCCAGGCTGTGCAGCTACAGGACCCTGGACCCCTGGACCTAAGCCATTGTAGAACCCTGTCATCTCAGGGCCTGTAACACTGCTGCATCCCACTCACCCCCCCACACAAATATATTAACTATATGTCAAATGCCTAGAACTACAACTATATACAGGTTTTACATGCTTGCTTTTTATATTTATTAAGAGAAGAAAGAAGACATATGCATTTATATTGTCATATAATTACTTATCTCACCAGTTCTCTCTGTTTTATCATGGTGATTAGAATTGCAATCTGGGTTTAGTTCCTTCAGTTTGAAGACTTTCTTTTAGTTTTTCCTATAAGGCAGATTTCCCAGCAATGAATTTTTTGGGGGGGAGTGGAGGGAGAGGAATATCTGTATTTTGCCCTCATTTTTGAAAGATAGTTTTGTTTGATATAGAACTTTTGGTTGACAGTTTTGTCTTTCAGTGCTTTGAATATGTCATCCCACTGCCATAGAGATTCCATTGTTTCTGATGAGATAAAAGTGATGTCTTATTGGAGTTCGCTTGTATAGATAAATTACTTTTCTTTTAGTGCTTCAAGACTTTCTGTCTTTAGCTTTCAACATATCATTAGGTCTGTGTATGGCTCTCCTACGTTTATCGTACTTGGACTTGGTTGAACAATTGGGATACATAGGTTAATGCTTTTCATCATATTTGGGATGTTTTCAGGCATTATTTAAAAAAATATTTTGCTTTGCTCCTTTTTCTCTGACACTCCCATTTTGTGTATGTTACTGTGCTTAATTCTGTCCCACAATTCTCAACCCCTCAGTTCATTTTTCTTCATTCTTTTTTCTCTCTGTTCTTTGAGTTGTATTATCTTATTGATCTATCTTCAAGTTTGCAGGGTTTTTTTTAAAATTTATTTTTGTCTGTGTTGGATCTTTGTTGCTGTGTGTGGACTCTCTCTAGTTGCAGTCAGCGGGGGCTATTCTTCATTGTGGTGCACGGGCTTTTCACTGTGGTGGCTTCTCCTGTTGCAGAGCACAGGCTCTAAGTGCGTGGCTTCAGGAGTTGTGGTGTGCAGGCTCAGTAGTTGTCACGCGCGGGCTTGTTGCTCCACGGCATGTGGGGTCTTCCTGGACTAGAGCTCAAACCCATGTCCCCTGTATTGGCAGGTGGATTCTTAACCACTGCACCATCAGGAAAGTCCCTTGCAGGCTTTTTTGTTTTGTTTTGTTTTGAAAGTTCAGCAAGATTTTATTTTTTTTTGGATAGACATTGATGATCTGATTTTTAAATTCATATGGAAAGGAAAAGGACCTAGCATAGCCAAAGTTGTATATCAAACTTTAAAAAGGAAAACAAAGTTGAAGGACTAACATTACCTGATTTCAGGAGTTATTGTAAAGCTAAGTAATCAAGAGAGTATGGTACTGGTGCAAAGACAGACAAATAGATCAGCAGAATAGAATAGCAAGTCCAGAACCTAACCCACACACATATGGCACACATATATGGACAACTGATTTTTGACAAAGGTGTAAAGACAATTTAGTGGAGAAAGGATAGCCTTTTCAACAAGTGGTGCTGGCATAACAGGATAGGCATGTGCCAAAAAAACCCCAAAAAATAAACCAAAAAAAGAACTTCAAACCATACCTTGTACCATATACAAAAATTAACTTAAAATGGATCATAAAATCAAACGCAAAATCTACAACTAGGGCTTCCCTGGTGGCGCAGTGGTTGAGAGTCCGCCTACCGATGCAGGGGACACGGGTTCCTGCCCCGGTCCAGGAAGATCCCATATGCCGCGGAGCGGCTGGGCCCGTGGGCCATGGCCACTGGGCCTGCGTGTCCGGAGCCTGTGCTCTGCAGCAGGAGAGGCCGCAGCGGTGAGAGGCCCGCGTACCTCAAAAAAAAAAAAAAAAACCTACAACTATAAAACTCCTAGGAGAAAACTTTCATGACCTTGAGTTGGGCAAAGATTTCTTAAATATGACACCAAAAGCATGGTTCAGAAAAGGCAAAACTGATCAACTGGACTTTATCAAAGTTAAAACTTCTCTTTGAAAGATATTTTTAAAAGAATGAAAGACAAACCACAGACTGAGAGAAAATATTTGCAAATAATATGTGTGATAAAGGAAGGACTTGTATCAAGAATACGTAAATAACGCTCTTAGAACGCAATTAGAAAACAAAAATATCATTTGTAAAACAGGCAGAGGAGTTGAGCAAATACATCAGTAAGGAAGATATATGGTGATAAATAAGGCACAAGAAAAGATGCTTAACATTATTAGTCATTAGGGAAATGCAAATTAAAACCATGAGGTACCACTATACACCTATTTTTTTATTTTGCGGTACGCGGGCCTCTCAGTGTTGTGGCCTCTCCCGTTACAGAGCACGGGCTCCGGACACGCAGGCTCAGCAGCCATGGCTCACGGGCCCAGCCGCTCTGCGGCGTGTGGGATCTTCCCGGACTGGGGCATGAACCCGTGCCCCCTCCATTGGCAGGCGGACTCTCAACCACTGCGCCACCAGGGAAGCCCTACACCTATTTTTTTTTTTTTTATTTCGTAGTTACATGTTTTATTAATCACGTCTGAGAAAAGTCACTGATTTTCATTTTGTACAGCATTACCTTGTAAGGACAAGATACAGTAACAACTTCAAAGCTTTTTGCATATCAGAGCTGAAACTGAAAGCATCTCCATAATTGAATTTTCACTTCTTATTTGTAATAAGTTTATCCTTAGAAGGATACTTCATAGTGTTTAATCACAGATGAGTTTGGGCATTGCTATCACTCAATAATGTTAAGCATCTGCCAGGATCTCTCCTATACTCTATATTAATTTTTTCTCCGTTAAGCAAATATTTATTGGCAGCCTGTGGGAATAAGATACATCTAGGTCCTCTTTCCTTGGTATATTCACAAAAGCCTCTGAAACTAAATTTCCAAGTCAGGCCATACTAAGCCATGGCATAGTAAGTTTTCATCATTAACAGTTCTTTCTTTTTTTTTTTTTTATTCAAACAGCAAGTCACAAAAATTATAATCATTCTCATCAGTTCACTCAGTCCCATGTAATTAATTTTTTTATCTTGATCTTTTGTTAGCACTTTTATGAATTCATCAGTTTTCCATTAGAGTTCAGAAAATGCTTATTCATTCAGTTCAGCAGTATAGTCAGTTACCAGAAACCTGTGCTTGTCAGAGTCTTTTCCATGAATTCCTTGAAGATGAAAACCTTTTATAGGAACATTTTTGCAAAAGCATCAGAGTACACCCAGAACTGTCTGTAAATGACAAAAGACTTAAAAATGACCACGGTTAAAGATTTGATGAAAGTTCATAATAATGCAATTGACAAGGAAATTTAGTTATTTCTGAGATATACATTTAAAAATAATAACTAGAATTATGACTTCTAACATCTAACATACCAGAATATATGATTTTTAGGAATTTCATGTAATGTCTGAAACATTTATATTAACATATTTCTATACAAATAACCCAAAGGAAGTTTAGTATTAATTTTAGAATTTTATTTTATTTATTTTTTATACAGCAGGTTCTTATTAGTCATCAATTTTATACACTTCAGTGTATACATGTCAATCCCAATCACCAAATTCATCACACCACCATCTCCACCCACCCCTGCTACTTTCCCGCCTTGGTGTCCATACGTTTGTTCTCTACATCTATGTCTCAAATTCTGTCCTTCAAACCGGTTCATCTGTACCAT